GAAGTCCTACGAATGCGACAGCAAGTGGAGGAACATGCTGTCGACTTACAGGAAGAATGCAGAACGGGCCAAGAGGCGGGGGGCTCAGATTGTTCACTGGGAGTTTTTTCAGGCCATGCATGATGTCCTGGGGAAAACCAGTAATGAGCTGGATGGACAGAGAGATGACAAACTGACTGGAAAGTTAGCTACGGTTATGGCCAATAAAAAATTCACTCCTATCCTTCCCACTCCTCCTTTACCTCCTGCCCCGCTGTCCACAAAGCCTACTCAGGATGTTCTACAGTTATACCTAGAATTGCAAGAGAGGAAGATGGATCTTTGGATGCAACAGACGGCTCTGGAAGAGAGAAAAATAGAAGCCATTAATAATCTCGCCAAAGCCATTTCTAGCTTAGCTGAAGATCGCAGCTCTCAGTATGTTACAGAAAGCAGTGGCTAGATAGGTATTACAGAGTTGGCTTGAGTTCCTCAAATAACCAAAAACAGTTTTGAACATTGAGCTGTTACCAGGTAATTTCTGTAAATAATCCATATAGATAAGGCTACCCCTGCTTACTAAGGCTAAAAACCTCATGAAACCACATATACATACATGTGTATGTATGTATATAATATAATTATATAGGTGGACTTTCATGTGTCAGTCTTAAAAATAAATCATTGTAAGCAATCCAATGGGAAATAGGATTTCATGGGTAGACTGTGTACTTTATTTTGATGCATTTAAAAAACGTCATTTTTTACTTGGAGAAATTTACTCTGTCATTTAACTGACTTACAGATGAGGGAGGGGTTACCATTTATGTGTGCTCCCTGGGATTTGAACCCACAACCATTACATTGTTAGCTCGATGCTCTACTTTGAGTTGCAGGAGGTATAATGCGAGTACAAAATACAATACAAATCGAATACAAATCCACTATATTTCTTCCCATTCACTTTTATGAAATATGATTAGAAATGGTATTTTTTCTGTCATGGATTTGGCATCATAAGTGTGTGGCTGAAAAGTGCTAAATATTGCATGTTTCTTTGGTTTATAACTAGAGTGAAATTAGGACCATGCAGAGATTCAGGGAAAACATGTTTACATTTCAAGTCCCAAAACAGTGTGCATTTTACCCTTTAATAAACTTTTTTTAAATGAATTTTGATGAGTTCTTTTTAATGCAACAACTTTTTTCTCATGTTTTCTGTGCATTTCTATCAGCCTGTGAAGTTGTAGTTCAATTATTCTATGAGGTAAATCTCTCATTGTCTCACTTTAACTTAACCAGACCTCCTTTCATTCCCTCTAACACTGTAACCCAGGTACCCATTGCAAGATTTGTCTCACCCTGACAAAAATGTGCTCTGTGAAGGTGGTTAAGACCACTGTGCGTGCCCCCTCACATTTAATCATGTCCAGGTATCGCGGTGTAGCCCATTTTAGAATGTGACTGTGGTATGTGTCTGACAGAGTCAGTGTCTGGCCATAGAGGTTCAACCCAGGCACTAAGTAGTAGTAATACATTTTAGCTTGCTGCTGCATCCTCTATTTAAAGCACTGTCAGTGTCTGAGACCTTGTAGATCTTACAGGGAGTGTTTTTTTTTTACTGCCACATTGTAGATGGAAGATGAGAATCACGGTGAGCTTTTCCTGTTTTTTTTTTTTTTTTGTCTATTTCCTCAAATTTCTACTTCCCTGAAGGTTCCTGCAGTACTCCCAAAGATCTAACCTGAATGTTGAATGTTCTTATTGATAGTATATACACAGAATTAGCTAAAATAAATAAGAACAGTGTTCAGATTTTCAAAATATTGTATAATAGTTAATATTAATTTTTGGTGGCTAGCCTTCCTTTTCCGCAAATTTTATCCAAAGCAGTCCAGTCGCCGATCAGTGACAGTATATGGCCAAAAGTATTGAGAATGACACAAGTATTGGTTTTCACAAAGTTTGCTGCTTCAGTGTTTGTAGATCTTTTTGTCAGATGTTTCTATGGTATACTGAAGTATAATTACAAGAATTTAATAACTTTTATTGACAATTACATTAAGTTTATGCAGAGTCAATATTTGCATTGTTGGCCCTTCTTTTTCAAGACCTCTGCAATTCGCCCTGGCATGCTGTCAATCAGCTTCTTAGCCAAATCCTGACTGATGGCTGCCCATTTTTGCATCAATGCTTGGGGTTTGTCAGAATTTGTGAGTTCTGGTTTCTCCACCCACCTCTTGAGGATTGGCCACAATTTCTCAATTGGATTAATGTCTGGGGAGTTTCCTGGCCATGGACCCAAAATTTTGATTTTTTCCCCCCGACCCACTTAGTTATCACATTTGTCTTATGGCACGGTGCTCCATCATGCTGGAAAAGGCATTGTTCATCACCAAACTGCTCTTGGACAGTTGGGAGAAGTTGCTCTCAAGGGTGTCTTGGTACCATTCTTTATTTATGCCTGTGTTCTTAGGCAAAATTGTGAGTGAGCCCACTGCCTTGGCTGAGAAGCAACCTCACACATGAATGGTCTCAGGATGCCTTACTGTTAGCATGACACAGGACTTTACCCCAGTCCTCAGCAGTCTAATCCCTGTACCTTTTGCAGAATATCAGTCTGTCCCTGATGTTTTTCTTGGAGAGAAGTGACTTCTTTGCTGCCCTTCTTCACACGAGGCCATCTTCCAAAAGTCTTCACCTCATGGTGCGTGCAGGTGCATTCACACATGCCTGCTGTTATTACTGAGCAAGCTCTGCACTGGTGGTGCCCCGATCCCGCAGCTGAATCAACTTTAGGAGATGGTCCTGGCACTTGCTGGACTTTCTTGGGTGCTCTGAAGCCTTCTTCACAGCAATTGAACCTCTCTCCTAGAAGTTCTTGATGATCCGATAAATGGTTGATTTAGGTCCTTGCCTTTGAAGCCCTTTTTGTGCAAAGCACTGATGACTACACATGTTTCCTTGCAGGTAACCATGGTTAACAGAGGAAGAACAATGATTTCAAGCACCACACCTTTTAAAGCATCCAGTCTGCTATTCTAACTCAATCAGCATGACAAAGTGATCTCCAGCCTTGTCCTCGTTAACACTCTCAGCTGTGTTAACGAGAGAATCACTGAAATTATGGTAGCAGGTCCTTTTCTGGCAGTGCTGAAATGCCGTGGAAATTGTTTTTTTGGGATTAAGTTCCTAATAATCTTTTAGGTGAGTGTATATGTAGCAGCAGACCCTTTAAGTCCTGTAAGTTGCCTCCATGAATCAGACTTATTCTTCCAGTACATCCCACCGATACTTGATAGAACTGAGATCTGAGGAATTTGGAAACCTTGAACTCTTTTTCATGCTCCTTAAACCGTTCCTAAACAATTTTTGCAGTATGGCTGTGCATATTATCCTGTTGAAAGAGGCCACTGAAGAATACTGCCACCATGAAGGGGTGTACTTGATCTGCGGAATGTTTAAGTACGTGTCGAAGTACCATCCACATGAATGCCAATTTCCAGCAGAACATTGCCCAGAACCACACTGCCTCTGCTAACTTGCCTTCATCCCATAGTGCATTCTGGTGTCATCTCTTCCCCAGGTGAAAAGCGGACAAGCACCTGCTTGTTCACATGACATAGCAGAAAATGTCTCATCAGATCAGGCCACCTTCTTCCATCGCTCCATAGTCCAGATCTCATGCTCACATGCTCATTGTAAGCCCTTTCAGCAGTGGACAAGGGTCTGCATGGGCACTCTGACCGCAGCCCCATATGCAGCAAGCTGCGATGCACTGTGTGTTCTAACACCTTTTTTCAGCAATTTGTGCTGCAGTAGCTGTCCTGTGGGATCACATGGGCCAGCCTTCGCTCCCCACATGCATCAATGAGCCTTGGGTGCCCATGACCCTGTCACCAGTTCACTAGTTGGCCAGTCACTTTCGGTAGATACTGACCACTGCATGCAAACCAATGGGAACCAAATGTCTCCAAAATGTGGTAAAACCTGTTACTTTTTAGCTTGTGGGGACATTTATCAGGTGTCCACAATATAAACCTTTTTATTTTAATCTGTGAATGCAATCCAAAAACTAAGATGAAAGAGTCAAAAGTCTTGTATTTTGTTAGGTTATTTATAGTTAAAGTTAGGTCTGGGAAAGGTTTAGGGTTATCAAAGTTACGATTAGGGTTATGCAACAAATTTGATTACTCACCTTAAGGCGAGACGGTGAAGAATATGAAAAGTTTCTGAAAAAACAAATCCGTTCCAATAAGGAAGGAAAAGAAAATTCATTGCAGACAGTGCAAAATCAAAACATATTACAAATTTGTCATACTTGATGATTGACCCATTCTCTGTTATAAATATATTAAATGCATACCATTATAAAATGTAGTGCTTTGGGACTGTTGTTATAGTATGTTATGTGTTTTGTTACCAAAAAATAAATACTTTCATAATTTTGGAAAGTAATTCATTTCTTGACTTATTTAAGCAGAACCTCCCAAACAATTGGGTCTGGTATTGGTGTCTGTTTTTTAAACAATCGGCTGTTGGTATCAGCCAGAAATTTCCTCATCGGTGCATCACTAGTTCCAAATCCTGTCCCTGTCTTTCCTGTTTCCTAGGTTGCGTTAATGCTTAGTGTGTTGTTTTTTTGACTTAGGCATCTGATGGAAGAATAGACCCCTACATGAATAGGTGTCTATATTAAGATTCAGAGCATTGTTTGTTCAATTTATTACTCATGCTGGATGCAGTGAATCTTACAAACTGTATTTAGAAGAAAAAACACTTTATTGCAGATGCCTGCAATATCACTCAGGCAACATGGATTTTAAATTCTTGTTAGATTAGACCACACTGACTTTTTATTGAATATGTTGCAATTTTTCATTAGATCACCTTTCAGTTCATTCACAATATATCTGAACAACATGTTCAGTGTTTCCATTGGTGCCAGTCAACGTGTCTGGGACGATTTCAATATAAAACAATTGATAGGCAGGCTATATAAAGAATTACATCAAGGCAAATAGATTTATATTTTTTATTTAAAAGTACGCTTCTTCAAATAAGTCCCATCAATAGACTCATGTGCATAACGCAAAAATAAGTAAATATTACACAAGCCTACTGTGTAACACGTAAACACAAAATTCCTTTCAGCTTACTTCCACATGTTCTCAAATAAAATAAAAACAGTTTAAAAAAAAAAAAAAACAATTCGCAAACAAACCAAAAAATACATGCAGGCCTATCTGGCTAAAACATTTTACTTAATTGTGCTTACAGGGAATTATTTCACCAGACATTATGACCAGTTTTTTTTTTATATACATTTTTCAGACTTCAACAGATTTCCTGGGTCAAAGTCCATTAATTATCAGATAACGGAAACTATGTACCCTGCATACACGAGTCCCAAAATTTACTCCAAATGTGCCATGGCAAAATTTATTCATTCTTGCTTTGCAGCCCTCTGTGTGATATCATCTCACAAACTAAAAAACACTCAAATTTCTTTCAAAACCAATTTATTGAAGTCAAATTAATAACCCTACAGTCAGAACAGACGAAATCAGCCACAAAAAAAAACACATTCGTTTTTTTCCTGAATAACTGCAGTAAGGCCTACAGATCAGCTGCTGAAAATAACATTTAAATATTGCACATTTTAAAATATTTTGACTGCAAAATGGCTGTATAATTTCAACCTTTGTAAAACATAGTCAATGCTGTAATTTTAAAATGTTAAGGCTGCATGTACTAAACCATGATTACACTAAGATAATTTAGGAAATCTACTTTAAATGAGAAAAGCTTAATTTCCACAGGACACAATGACAGAATGCATCCCGGATTTTCTCAGTGCTGTCAGACTAAATGAGGGTACCAAACACTTCAATCTACAGTCAGTCTCTAAAACACATAACCATTTTACATAAACAAAGACTCCCAAATTTTTCCTAGCTTGCCATTGAATTTAACATAATATGAATTAAACAAATTAATTTGTGGTGTTCCACTGTATACTGTAATGACAATAAAAGGGGAGGGGAGGGAGTAATTGTGATTCATCTGCATGGCAAACTTTTGGGACATCCAACGCTCACAGTAATTGAAATTCTCCATTGAATATTTACGGGAAAACAGAAAGTGGCATCACATCAAATTATGAACAGGGAACTCCAGGTAAAAAATAAAAAATAAAAAATAAAAAAAAAATTAAAAAAAAACTGACTACAATGCATTTCACGTATAACAAACAGCCATTAAATCAATATGCAAATACTACTCTAAACTTGGTACACTCGTGCCTGACTCAAAGAAATGAACTTTACATACACTGATATTAGTAATAAAATTATAGTATATTATAGAAAAGCAAGAAAAATAAAATAAAAACATGGCTATAAACCAGAATAGGCTCAAATATAATAGACTTCAAAACCTCCACTTGGAAAAACTGCTTGAATAATTCCACAGCATCAAAAAATAAGGCCTACCATAGAATTAGCTTGATGTTAAATCACTAAGACGCCCTTGATTTATCAAAACACAAAAGCTTACAACAGATGACACAAATGCAAATAAAACATGCTTAACTGCCACAAGGTTTTTAAAAAAGTAGTCTTTATTCAACTAATAACATTTATGTTTAAAGCATATGTTGTCAGAGTGTATCACACACGCACAGCAGGCACAGCTAAGGGCAATCCCAGTCGATCCCCAAGCCCTGTCAATGTCAAGCGGAGTTAATTTGTCATGGTTCTGAATTCCATAAATTTACCACCTAGACCTTGCAATTTTCCAGTGAGTTCCAGTGCATTTTTTCCACTTAACTCCAAATTTAGTTTGATTCCAGATCTTTGGTTTGACTGAACAAAATACTGAAAGAAACTTTAAATCTGTTATACATTTTTTTCTAGCTTCTAAACTGAATAATAGTGGCCAAGGAACAAAACAGCGAAAAGCAATTCACAGGACTGGATTGAGGAAAAAAGGCACCAAACAGCAGGAACATGGAAGCCTGGGAAAAAATAATCCTTATTTCCATAAATGGCATCTTGCCGTGCAATATTTCAAATTCTATGCATGAATGTCCACAAGTACATTCCAGCAACAAATGTAGGCTCAATTAACTCCACCACAGTTGGTAAATGCACACCTTGAAAGTGGACCAACAACTGCACCTACCCAATAATCCCCCAAATCATAACGATACTAAACAATAATACATTAAACACTGAACACAGTCGCACACCCCCCAGCAGCTGGAGATGGATGTTTAGCTGGCACTGGAACATTCTCCCACACTCCTCAGAATCCCAAAGTCTGACAGAAGTTGAGCCAGGATGCCAGTCCATGAGAGACGCAGTAACTGTCTACAAGTATGGATTCTAAAGTGTGTTGTGAACATGTGTTTGGAAACTGTTAATAATGTGTTTGCTATACAAAGGCTACAGGAAGAAAGCACAGAGATGGTACCTAACTTTGCCAACTGAATCCTTGCTGCTCACTCCCATGTCTCAAGAAGTTTCTTCCATATTCTCTCCAGCTCCCCCTGACCCGCACCCTAGCTCCCCCAGCCCCGACAGCCACGCGCTCCAGCCTCCCCTCCCATCCTCGCTAGCTCTTCTCCCCTCATTGCACGGCCTGTTCGCTGGTGGTGCTGCCTGAATCCTGTGGTTTCATGACGTCCGGGAGCTCTGGGGGGCTGGAGAACGGATCCAGCCGCAGCGGCTCAAAGACCTCATCTGGGCGGGGTGGGGAACAGAAAAAAAGCGATGTGAACTCAGCAAGTGTATCAGTAAATGTTTGGGTTCAAAAAAGGCCATTCGGTGCGGTAATTAAGTTTGTGGGTTGGAGCTCATGCACAGTGGCTGCGGCCAATTATCCAGATATAAAAATAAAGCCACTCATTAATAGGAGACCAACAAAATCAGAATTAGGATGGGAAAAAAGGTGAAACAAATATACAGACAGGTCCATAAATATTTGGACAGAGACAAAGTTTTTCAATTTGGCTGCATTTGGCTGGATTTGAGCAGACATGATGTTTCTGATCACCTCAGCATTCATTCGGCTGCTTTCATCCTGTGTCACGTCGTCAAGAAACACTAAAGACCCAGTGCCACTGGCAGCCATGCACGCCCAAGCCATCACATTGCCACCACCATGTTTTACAGATGTGTATTTGCTTTCATGCAGTCTTCTCTTTATGTTAGACTTGGATATTGATACGCCAACCTCCTGGAGAGTGTTGTTCACTTGGTTGGCTGTTATAAAAGGGTTTTTCTTCACCATGGAAATGATTCTGCGATCATCCACCACTGTTGTCGTCCGTGGACGTCCAGCCTTTTTGCGTTGCTGAGTTCACCAATGCTTTCCTTCTTTCTCAGGATGTACCAAACTGTGGATTTTGTCACTCCTAATGTTGTAGGAATTTCTCAAGTTTTTTTCTGTTTTCACTGCCTAAGGATGGCCTGTTTCACCTGCATACTGAGATCCTTTAACTGCATGTTTTGTGTTCACACCTCAATCTTCCAAATGCACACAAGACACTCAAATCAGCTCCAGGCCTTTGATCTGCTTAATTGATAATGAGAGAACGAAGGAATTGCCCACACCTGTCCATGAAATAGCTTTTAAGTGAATTGTCCAATTACTTTTGGACCCTTTAAAAAGAGGGTGGCACATGTTAATGAGTTGAAACTCCTAAACCCTTCATCTAATTCGAATGTGGATACGCTAAAATGAAATCTGCACTTTATGTCCATGCCCATTGTATAACTTTAATTGGAATATATTTCAATAAACGAGTAAAATAGTAAAACTTATGTCAGTGTCCAAATATTTATGGTCCTAACTGTATTTGCTTCATATGGTCCTTGTGTTTATGGTATGAACAACTAATCAATAATGTAGATGAAGTGGGAATATAGTTGACATTTTTGCAGTTTGCTACATAAATTGCACATAATGACATCAACACTCAGCAACATTAAGCCTAGTTCGCACTTCACTTGTCCGCACAAGATCCATGGTGCGAACACTTGTATACATACTACATGTCTGGACACAGATGATCATGGTGGCCGCTTGTGTACAGCAATGATATTGCACAAGACCAGCAGAGCGCAGATAAACTGATTAATAAAAATAAAAGCACTATAGTGAAATGGGTAAAAGTTTATGAACAATTTTTAAGTTTTCACTGGCCTTGACTGGTATTATGTAAATGCATTAAATTGGGGTATTTTGGAATCTTGTGACAAAACTAGCCAGGGCCACCACCTGGGCATATTTTATCGGCAAGATTTCAAAATGCTGGAATAACATTGCTTTTGAAAATATCGTCAAATATACCGCAGTAGAGCACTTTTCCACTGCACCAGGTGCCTAACTTTTGTACTTGTAAACAGTACGAAAGTCAATGGCACTTCTTCTATTTGATTTTCACTGGTGTAAAAAATTTGTACCAGCACAGAATGCTATCATCACAAACGCAGGGCGTTTTTTGACAGAATTTGGACGGAAGTGCTGGATGATGAGCAATATTAATATGCACA